TCCTCTGAAACTACTGGGCAAAATACCTTCAAACTTTAACTGAATGTTCCTTAGGGTATATATCTAGTTTGCTGTTGCTAAAATTAGAACATAGGGGTTAAATGCAGTTTTTAGCTCACCTGGCCCAAAAAGGCCTAGTGAGCTTTTCTCATCTCTTGGTGTCTGTCGTCCCTCATCGTCCGTTAACTTTTACAAAAATCTTCTCCTCTGAAACTACTGGGCCAAATAAAACCAAACTTGGCTTAAATCATCCTTAGGGTATCTAGTTTAAAAAATGTAACCGATGACCCTGCCCATCAACCAAGATGGCGGCCATGGCTAAAAATAGAACATGGTGGTAAAATGCAGTTTTTGGCTTATATGTCTGAAACTAAAACATTTAGAGCAAATCTGACAAGGGTTAAAATTGTTCATCGAGTCAAGATCTATCTGCTCTATAATTTTCAGACGCATCAGACAACCCAATGTTGAGTTGCTGCCCCTGAATTGGTAATTTTAAGGAAATTTTGCAGTTTTTATACGACCGCAAAAGGTCGTATATTGCTGTTATTGTCCTCATTGTCATCGGCGTCTAAGGCATTGTCGTTGTCTGAAGACATTTGGTTTCCGGACATTAACTTTAGTTCGAGTGTACATGGTGTATGGATCTCTATAAAATTTAACCAGTTAGGGGTACTACTTGTACAAGTAGTCTTTATTTACTTGAAGTTCTAAGTAACTAATAATATACTTATATAAGTAAATTATAATGTTTGAATAATCTCCCCTTAATTATATATAGTGATACTGATTTACCTCTCTCCATCCGTCCGTCCATCCATCAGTCCGTCCATCTGTCCCATGAAAATTTTCGTCGCATTTTTCTCAGGAACTACAATACAAGGATTTCTGAAATTTGGTTCAGGGTTTATATAAGTCGGCTATACCGTGTGATGCGTTTTCAGATTGATCACTCAACAACTTCCTGTTTACCGAACACTTACATCATTTTACACAACACATCCAAGATGAAAATTTTCGTCACATTTTTCTCAGGAACTACATTACAAGGATTTCTGAAATTTGGTTTCAGTGTTTATATAAGAGCAAAGATCAGATTAAGTGTAACATTTGTGTGACATAACGTCCGTCACATTTAAGCCCATATATCAAGATTTTAAATATATCAGAGGAATCTTCACCTTTTCAGAGTTGACTTTTGTGATTATAGAGATAGTTCTTTGTTTCAATACTTGTCAACAGACATTCAAAAAAAGGCACAACTTTTGTGATGGACGTTACATTGACAAGTTTGACATGCTAATTTTAGATTAAAGAAAGTTTTGAATGTATTTCAAATTAATTAAATTATATGGTTTTCATTCTTGTTCTGAACTCATGAAAATGCACATCTTGGCAGTTTCAAGTTAAAAAGAATAATGATGTTAAATAAAAGTAATGGACGTCACAAAAATATGATGCATATTTGTTAAGTTTCCATTTCAACTAATCACTTCTAGACATCAGGAGAGTCAAAATGGTTAAGATTATATAACTGGTAGTAGTGAAAACCCACAGAGTCAATGGGAAATGGATATCAATAATGGTTAATTTGTATAGTGTGCTGGAAGTTTTATTTGACAGTTTGACATTTTATAAGTCACATGTCACATCCATGTAACAGGCGTCACAAAAATATTCTGTATATTTTTTTATTTTTCAACCTAATTTCTCACAACTGGACACCTGTAAAGTCAGAATTGGTAACATACTTCAAAATGGTTGTATGTAAAACATAAAGAATCAATAGAAAATGGATACTAATAATAATTCATTTGTATAGTGTGACAGAAGTTTTGTGAAACTTTTGCTTAGTTTACATGTATTAGTTTGTGATTAGGTCAGTTTATGGGGAACCACTAATTGGTATGCAGTTGTATAAGCATTGGCATATCTCATTTCCATGGAGATTATTTGGCTCCGCCCCCTTAGTCATGGTCTATTGACTTTGAAAATTTTGCTTAAGTTTACTTGTATTAGTTTGTGATTGGGTCAGTTCAAGGGGAACCATTAGTGGTATGCCAATGTTAATTGGTATTCAGTTGTATAAGCATTAGCACATCTCATTTCCATGGAGAATATTTGGCCCAGCCCCCTCAGTCATGGTCTATTGACTTTGAAACATTTGCTTAGTTTATACGTATTAGTTTGTGATTAGATCATTTTAAGATGAACTGCTAATGTTAAGTCAATGATATTTGGTATGCAAATTTATTGGCATCTGCAAGTCCTATTTCCATGGAGATTATAAAGCCCCACCCCCCTTATCATGGTTCATTGACTTTGAAACTTTTACATAGTTTACAAGTTAATGTTTGTGTTTCGGTTTGTTTAAAGGAAACAACTTATGATAAGTCAATGGTATTTGGTATGCAGTTGTATTAACATTGGCACATCTCATTTCCATGGAGATTGTTCAGCCATGTACCTTCAGTCATGGTTCATCGACTTTGAATATTTGCATAACTTACATGTATAAAGTATTGCTATTTTAATTTCAACATTTGCATTTATAGCAAAATTACAAAAAGGCGAGACATACATGTATATCTGTGATAACAGTTTTATTGGTTATTATCTTGAATATTATAATAGATAGAGATAAACTGTAAACAGCAAAATTGTTCAGCAAAGTAAGATCTACAAATAAGTCAAACATGACCAAAATTGTCAATTGACCCCATAAGGACATGAAGGAGTTATTGCCCTTTAAAGTAAATTTTTCACAATTTTTCGTAAATTTTTATAATTTTTTACAAAAATCTTCTCCTCTGGAACAACTTGGCCAAATCATCCTTAGGGTATCTGCCCATCATCCAAGATGGCCATCATGACTAAAAATAGAACATGGGGGTAAAATGCAGTTTGGCTTATATCTCTGAAACTAAAGCATTTAGAGGCAATCAGACATGGGGGTAAAAATGTTCATCAGGTCAAGATCTATCTGCCCTGAAATTTTCAGACACATCAGACAACCTGTTGTTGGGTTGCTGCACATGAATTTGTAATTTTAAGGAAAGTTTGCAGTTTTTATACGATCGCAAAAAAATATGGCCTTGGCGTCGTCGTCTAAAGACACATTGGTTTTCGCACTCTAACTTTAGTTTAAGTGAATGGATCTCTATGAAGTTTTACCATAAGGTTCAATACCACAAAAGGAAGGTTGGGATTGATTTTGGGGGTTATGGTACCAACAGTTAAGGAATTAGGGGCCAAAAATAAGCATTTTTGTAACTTCCAGACATAACTTGTGTGTTATTGTATGGATCTCTCTGACATTGTACCACAAGGTTCCATATCACAAAGGGAATGCTGGGATTGATTTTGAGGGTAATTGCCTCAAAATTTTAGGAATTAGGGGCCAAAAAAGGGGCAAAAAACAAGCATTTTTATATGGACAAATACTTTAGTACAAAACATAATTTAAAGCAGTGTAAGGGAGATAAATCAAATACATCATTTGAATTACCTCCCTTACACTGCTTTTAAATTATGTATATAGTAATTGTTTAATGAACAATTAAGACAATTTAAAACAGTGTAAGGGAGGTAATCCACATACAACGTTTTGATTACTTCCCTTACACTGCTTTTAAATTATGTTTAAAGAAATGCATATTTATAAAGGAAGACCAGTAAAAATATCTGCAAATGTTGCATCTTTTTTTTTTTAACAAAAAAATCCATATGAAAGATTTGACACCATATTTTAAATTCTATTATAAAATAGATTAAGTTAGCACTATGGTAAATTTAAATGGGTAATTATGGTTGCAAATTCCATTGGAAATTTGAATTGAGATTATGACCATATCTTGAAGGAAAGAATTTTTTGGGGGAAAAGGGGAAGGGGAGGGGGGGGGGGGGGTAAAAAGAAATTGTGGGGGGGAGGTCAATTTTTTCTCATTTCAGATTTCAGAAATTAAAAAGAATTATTCTTCAAATATTATTTTTTTTTCAAATTTCAAATATTGAAAAATTTCAAGAAGTAATCTTAAATTGCACAGTATGGCGCATTAGATTTGTAAAATCTTTGACCACATTTATTTATTTGTTATGCCAAATCTGACCGTGTATTTAGATTTTTAATTTTGGGTCCTGTTTTTAAATTGGTCTACATTAAGGTCCAAAGGGTCCAAAATTAAACTAGTTTGATTTTAACAAAACTTGAATATATGGGGTTCTTTGATATGCTGAATCTAAACATGTATTTAGATTTTTGATTTTGGGCCCAGTTTTCAAGTTGGTCCAAACTGGGGTCCAAAATTAAACTTTGTTTGATTTCAACAAAAATTGAATATATGGGGTTCTTTGATATGCTGAATCTAACCATGTATTTAGATTTTTTATTTGTGGGCCCCGCTATCAAATTGGTTCATATTGAGGTCAAAAGGGTCCAAAATTAAACTTTGTTTTATTTCATCAAAAATTGAATTATTGGGGTTCTTTGATATGCCAAATCTAACCGTGTATTTAGATTTTAAATTTTGGGTCCAATTTTCAAATTGGTCTACATTAAGGTCCAAAGGGTCCAAAATTAAACTTAGTTTGATTTTAACAAAAATTGAATATATGCATGGGGTTCTTTGATATGCTGAATCTAAACATGTATTTAGATTTTTGATTTTGGGCCCATTTTTCAAGTTGGTCCAAATTCCAAATTTAACTTTGTTTGATTTCAACAAAAATTGAATAAATGGGGTTCTTTGATATGCTGAATCTAACCGTGTATTTAGATTTTTTATTTGTGGGCCCTGCTATAAAATTGGTTCATGGGTCCCAAATTAAACTTTGTTTTATTTCATCAAAAATCGAATTATTGGGGTTTTTTGATATGCCAAATCTAACCGTGTATTTAGATTTTTAATTTTGGGTCCTGTTTTTATACGACTGCAAAAAAATTTTGTGGTCGTATATTGGTATGACGTTGGCGTCGTCGTCTTCGTCGTCGTCGTCGGGTGTCCGGCGTCGTCGTCGTCGTCCGGCGTCGTTGTCCGAAGACACATTGGTTTTAGCACTCTAACTTTAGTTTAAGTAAATGGATCTTTTTGAAATTTGACCATAAGGTTAAATACCACAAAAGGAAGGTTGGGATTGATTTTGGGGGTTATGGTACCAACAGTTAAGGAATTAGGGGCCAAAAAGGGGCCAAAAATAAGCATTTCTAGTTTCCAGACAATAACTGTGGAACGGTGTATGGATCTCTCTGAAATTATACTACAAGTTTCCATACCACAAAGGGATGGTTAGGATTTGCTTTGGGGGGTTATGGCTCAAACTGTTTAGGAATTAGGGGCAAAAAAGGGGGAAAAACAAGGTTGTCCTGGTTAATTGACAAATACTTTAGTACAAAACATAATTTAAAGCAGTGTAAGGGAGATAAATCAAATACATCATTGAAATTATCTCCCTTACACTGCTTTTAAATTATGTATAAAGTAATGGTTAATGAACAATAAAGATAATTTAAAACAGTGTAAGGGAGGTAATCCAAATACAACGTTTTGGTTACTTCCCTTACACTGCTTTTAAATTATGTTTAAAGAAATGCATATTTATAAAGGAAGACCAGTAAAAATATCTGCAAATGTTGCATCTTTTTTTTTTACAAAAAAATCCATATGAAAGATTTGACACTATATTTTTAATTCTATTATAAAATAGATTAAGTTAGCACTATGGTAAATTTAAATGGGTAATTATGGTTGCCAACTCCATTGGAAATTTGAATTGAGATTATGACCATATCTTGAGGGAAAGGATTTTTTGGGGGAAAAAAGGGGGGGGGGGATAAAAAGAAATTGTGGGGGTCAATTTTTTCTCATTTCAGATTTCAGAAATTAAAAAAAATTATTCTTCAAATATTATTTTTTTTTCAAATTTCAAATATTGAAAAATTTCAAGAAGAAATCTTTAATTGCACATTATGGCGCATTAGATTTGTAAAATCTTTGATCACATTTATTTATTTGTTATGCTGAATCCAACAGTGTATTTAGATTTTTAATTTTGGGTCCAGTTTTCAAATTGGTCTACATTAAGGTCCAAAGGGTCCAAAATTAAACTTTGTTTGATTTTAGCAAAAATTGAATATATGAGGTTCTTTGATATGCTGAATCTAAACATGTATTTAGATTTTTGATTTTTGGCCCAGTTTTCAAGTTGGTCCAAATTGGGGTCCAAAATAAAACTTCGTTTGATTTCAACAAAAATTGAACATATGGGGTTCCTTGATATGCTGAATCTAACCATGTATTTAGATTTTTTATTTGTGGACCCCGTTATCAAATTGGTTCATATTGAGGTCAAAAGGGTCCAAAATTAAACTTTGTTTGATTTCATCTAAAATTGAATTATTGGGGTTCTTTGATATTCCAAATCTAACCGTGTATTTAGATTTTTAATTTTGGGTCCTGTTTTTTAAATTGGTCTACATTAAGGTCCAAAGGGTCCAAAATTAAACTTAGTTTGATTTTAACAAAAATTGAATTCTTGGGGTTCTTTGATATGCTGAATCTAAACATGTGTTTAGATTTTTGATTATGGGCCCAGTTTTCAAGTTGGTCCAAGATAGGGTCCAGTATTTAAACTTTGTTTGATTTCAACAATAATTGAATATATGGGGTTCTTTGATATGCTGAATCTAAACATGTATTTAGATTTTTGATTATGGGCCCAGTTTTCAAGTTGGTCTAAATTGGGGTCCAAAATTAAACTTTGTTTGATTTCAACAAAAATTGAATATATGAGGTTCTTTGATATGCTGAATCTAACCATGTATTTAGATTTTTTATTTGTACGCCCCGCTATCAAATTGTTTTATATTGAGGTCAAAAGGGTCCAAAATTAAACTTTGTTTGATTTTATCAAAAATTGAATTATTGGGGTTCTTTGATATGCCAAATCGAACCGTGTTTTTAGATTTTTAATTTGGGTCCCGTTTTTTAAATTGGTCTTCATTGAGGTCCAAAGGGTCCAAAATTAAACTTAGTTTGATTTTAACAAAAATTGAATTCTTGGGGTTCTTTGATATGCTGAATCTAAACATGTGTTTAGATTTTTGATTATGGGCCCAGTTTTCAAGTTGGTCCAAGTTGGGGTCCAAAATTAAACTTTTTTGATTTCAACAAAAATTGAATATATGGGGTTCTTTGATATGCTGAATCTAACCATGAATTTAGATTTTTTATTTGTGGGCCCCGCTATCAAATTGGTTCATATTGAGGTCAAAAGGGTCCAAAATTAAACTTTGTTTTATTTCATCAAAAATTGAATTATTGGGGTTCTTTGATATTCCAAATCTAACCGTGTATTTAGATTTTTAGTTTTAAGTCCCGCTTTTTAAATTGGTCTACATTAAGGTCCAAAGGGTCCAAAATTAAACTTAGTTTGATTTTAGCCAAAATTGAATTCTTAGGGTTATTTGATATGCTGAATCTAAACATGTGTTTAGATTTTTGATTATGGGCCCAGTTTTCAAGTTTGTCCAAGTTGGGGTCCAAAATTAAACTTTGTTTGATTTTAACAAAAATTGAATATATGGGGTTCTTTGATATGCTGAATCTAACCATGTATTTTGATTTTGGACATTGGACCATAATAGGTAAATTAAAAAAATTCAAGTTCTTAGACCACATTCTTTCTGTGTCAGAAACCTATGCTGTGTCAAATATTTAATAACAATCCAAATTCAGAGCTGTATCAAGCTTGAATGTTGTGTCCATACTTGCCCCAACTGTTCAGGGTTCGACCTCTGCGGTCGTATCAAGCTGCGCCCCAGCGAAGCATTTTATTTAAATTGGTCTACATTAAGGTCCAAAAGGTCCAAAATTAAACTTAGTTTGATTTTAACAAAAATTGAATTCGTGGGGTTCTTTGATATGCTGAATCTAAACATGTGTTTAGATTTTTGATTATGGGCCCAGTTTTCAAGTTGGTCCAAGTTGGGGTCCAAAATTAAACTTTGTTTGATTTCAACAATAATTGAATATGGGCAATAATTTGGTATTCGGCCTGTGGTTTCTTTTTGTATCTTTTTTTTTAAGTTCTAAAACTTTAACTTTTATTCTGTGGGTTGTGTTGGTGTGAGAATAGTATTAATGGAACAAGTGGGTTTTTCAAGCAAAAATTAATCCATTGTGATTCACCGTTTTCTTGACAGGAAACCAAACAGGAAACAAAACTTTATTTTCTTTATTTTGCACAATTTATTTCAAAAGACATAAATGAACACAATTACTAGTGTTACTTGCTTCATGTTAATATTTAAAATCTATTTTCAATGTTAAATTAAGTTTTTTTTTAAATGCGACAGGAAACCATAAGAAACCGAAAGCACCTTTTTAGTTTTTATTTTATTGGAAAATCAGCATAAACGTTAAAATAATCTGAACAGTAAACTTTTTCTTGATAATGTTACTTATAACTTTGGTTTTTGTCGAGCCTGCGACTTTTGTTGCAGAAAGCTCGACATAGGGATAGCGATCCGGCGGCGGTGGCGGCGGCGGCGGCGGCGGCGGCGTTAGCTAACTTCTTAAAAGCTTTATATTTTAGAAGATGGAAGACCTGGATGCTTCATATTTTGTATATGGATGCCTCATGTTACGAAGTTTCCGTCAGTCACATGTCCAATGTCCTTGACCTCATTTTCATGGTTCAGTGACTACTTGAAAAAAAAGTTCAGATTTTTTGTAATGTTAAATTCTCTCTTATTATAAGTAATAGGATAACTATATTTGGTATGTGCGTACCTTGCAAGGTCCTCATGCCCGTCAGACAGTTTTCACTTGACCTCGACCTCATTTCATGGATCAGTGAACAAGGTTAAGTTTTCAGGGTCAAGTCCATATCTCAGATACTATAAGCAATAGGTCTAGTATATTCGGTGTATGGAAGGACTGTAAGGTGTACATGTCCAACTGGCAGGTGTCATCTGACCTTGACCTCATTTTCATGGTTCAGTGGTTATAGTTAAGTTTTTGTGTTTTGGTCTGTTTTTCTTATACTGTATGCAATAGGTCTACTATATTTGGTGTATGGAATGATTGTAAGGTGTACATGTCTAGCTGGCAGGTGTCATCTGACCTTGACCTCATTTTCATGGTTCAGTGGTCAAAGTTAAGTTTTTGAGTTTTGGTCTTTCTTTTTAATACTGCATGCAATAGGTCAGCTATATTTGGTGTATGGAATGATTGTAAGGTGTACATGTCTAGCTGGCAGGTGTCATCTTACCTTGACCTCATTTTCATGGTTCAGTGGTCAAAGTTAAGTTTTTGAGTTTTGGTCTTTTTTTCTAATACTATATGCAATAGTTCAACTATATTTGGTGTATGGAAATATTTTATGATCTATATGTCAGTTATGCAGGTTTTATTTGACCTTGACCTCATTTTCAAGGTTCATTGCTCAGTGTTAAGTTTTTGTGTTTTCGTCTGTTTTTCTTAAACTATAAGCAATAGGTCAACTATATTTGTTGTATGGAAGAATTGTTAGCTGTACATGCCTGCCTAGCATGGTTCATCTGACCTTGACCTCATTTTCATGATTCATTGGTCAATGTTTAGTTTACTTGGTTAATGTTAAGTTTATGTGACAGTTGTAATAAAGCTTTATATTTAGGACTATCAACATAATATCAATGATTAGTAAAGAAGGCGAGACATTTCAGCGTGTGCACTCTTGTTAAATTTAGGACTGTTGATAATTTTTTTCCAATAGACAATAAAAACTATGAGAATATAGAAACTTGGGTGTCACTAAAATAAATAATTTTTTGGGCGCCAACTGATTTTGACTACCAATGTATTTTCTCTTGCTTTTTGTTATAAATCTTATACACTTTTATATGTAGCACATGTGCCTACTAACCCTTAGAAACCCAATGCAGTGTGCTAGCTAGCTCTGTAACACAATTGCATTGTTTACACTTTGTGCTTATGCGTCACTAACCAGAAAATTCAAGCACTGTATAAACTGGGAGATCTAGCTAGTGCTATTTATCTTATATAATGTATTTTTCTATAAAGGGCTGTTCCAGAACTGAATGTATGGGGGTGTTGGGAGGCACTTTCTCAGCTCTCACTTTTGGTTCAATTGGAAAGATGCAGGACATTTTAAATTTCTAAATTTTATTGAACACAAAACAAAAAGCGTGATCCAATAAACAAATTAATGTTTGGAACATCCAATATGTTAGTGATAAAAATAAAATTGAGAATGGAAATGATGAATATGTCAAAGAGACAACAACTCGACCAAAGAGCAGACAAAAGCCGAAGTCCACCAATGTGTCTTCAATGCAGCGAGAAAATCCCGCACCCGGAGGTGGTCCTCAGCTGGCCCCAAAATAAAATTGTGTGCTAGTTCAGTGAAAATGGATGTCACACTAAACTCCAAAACATACATGACATATAAATGAACTAAAATTAAAAAACATACAAGACTAACAAAAGCCAGAGGCTCCTGACTTGGGACAGGCGCAAAAATGCAGCGGGGTTAAACATGTTTTGTGAGATCTCAACCCTCCCCCTATACCTCAAGTCAATGTAGAAAAAAGAAACTCATAGCAATACGCACAGTAAAACTCAGTTTAAAAGAAGTCCGAGTCCGATGTCAGAATAGGTAACAAAAGAAACTAAGCAAAATGACAATGACAGTCAGAGCTCAGACATAAACAAGTCGATTTTTGTTTTTGACTTACATAAGTCAAAAAATGTATTTATTATAAAAATGTACTTTCATTTTCAGACTTATTTAAGTCAGAAAATGACAGACTTGTTTAGGTCTATTTATGTTTATGAAAAGACTTAATTTTAATTAGTGGCCAAAGTGCACCACCTATGACATCATAAACCTGTGTGAGAGTTCGCAATGACCTGAGCTATCTATATTTCATTATCTAATTGAACATTTTTACTTAACATAGATTATTTTTCTCATTTTGTGTGATTACAGATGGTTGCATTGTAAAGTAAATAAACATTATCTCAGATTTTTTAGACTCTCATGCATATTTTTCCTTAGAAGACAAAGCATTGTCTTTCAATGTTGTCATAATTTCATGTAGATGCATGACCTTTTTATAAATATGCATGGGTCTTGAAGTTGGCCAATTTTGGTAACTTATTGACTTGTAGGAGTCAATATTTGCAACTCTTTAATTTAGGTCAAATATTTCTTGCTTAACACTAATTGACTTATTGAAGTCATAATTTGTCTTAAATTAAAAGGAGACAAATCTTGAAACCTTCAAATTTAGACCTCTATGAGTCAAAAGCAGATTTAGACTTATTTATGTCTGAGCTCTGACTGAATGATACATAAATGAACAAAGGACTACTAGCAGTTACTGACATGCTTGCTCCAAAGTTGGCAAACCTCAATTAAACTGATTGAAAGATTAGGTCTTCATCATATGAAAATCAAGTACAATCCCTCCCGTTAGGGGTTTATTATCATACCATCATAAAATATATGAGAAGAACATAACCTGTATCATGCCAACAACTGGTTAGAATAAATGTGCAAAGACCCTATAATTGAATCAATTTTAATACCAAAATATGCCATCCTTAATGATTTTGATGTCCATTTTATTCACAGTATAAGTAGTATCTTGTAACGTCCACCCTGTTCCTTGCTTTTTATACGACCGCAAAAAAATTTTGTGGTCGTATATTGGTATGACGTTGGCGTCGTCGTCGTCGTCGTCGTCGTCGTCGTCCGGCGTCGTCGTCCGAATACATATTGGTTTTCGCACTCTAACTTTAGTTTAAGTGAATGGATCTTTTTGAAATTTGACCATAAGGTTAAATACCACAAAAGGAAGGTTGGGATTGATTTTGGGGGTTATGGTACCAACAGTTAAGGAATTAGGGGCCAAAAAGGGGCCAAAAATGAGCATTTTCTAGTTTCCAGACAATAACTGTGGAACAGTGTATGGATCTCTCTGAAATTATACTACAAGTTTCCATACCACAAAGGGATGGTTAGGATTTGCTTTGGGGGGTTATGGCTCAAACCGTTTAGGAATTAGGGGCAAAAAAGGGGGAAAAACAAGGTTGTCCTGGTTAATGGACAAATACTTTAGTACAAAACATAATTTAAAGCAGTGTAAGGGAGATAAATCAAATACATCATTGAAATTATCTCCCTTACACTGCTTTTAAATTATGTATAAAGTAATGGTTAATGAACAATAAAGATAATCTAAAACAGTGTAAGGGAGGTAATCCAAATACAACGTTTTGGTTACTTCCCTTACACTGCTTTTAAATTATGTTTAAAGAAATGCATATTTATAAAGGAAGACCATTAAAAGTATCTGCAAATGTTTTCATCTTTTTTTTTTACAAAAAAATCCATATGAAAGATTTGACACTATATTTTTATTAATTCTATTATAAAATAGATTAAGTTAGCACTATGGTAAATTTAAATGGGTAATTATGGTTGCCAACTCCATTGGAAATTTGAATTGAGATTATGACCATATCTTGAGGGAAAGAATTTTTTTTGGGGAAAAAGGGGGGGGGATAAAAAGAAATTGTGGGGGGCCAATTTTTTCTCATTTCAGATTTCAGAAATTAAAAAGAATTATTCTTCAAATATTATTTTTTTTTCAAATTTCAAATATTGAAAAATTTCAAGAAGTAATCTTTAATTGCACAGTATGGCGCATTAGATTTGTAAAATCTTTGATCACATTTATTTATTTGTTATGCCGAATCTAACAGTGTATTTAGATTTTTAATTTTGGGTCCAGTTTTCAAATTGGTCTACATTAATGTCCAAAGGGTCCAAAATTAAACTTTGTTTGATTTTAGCAAAAATTGAATATATGAGGTTCTTTGATATGCTGAATCTAAACATGTATTTAGATTTTTGATTTTTGGCCCAGTTTTCAAGTTGGTCCAAATTGGGGTCCAAAATTAAACTTTGTTTGATTTCAACAAAAATTGAATATATGGGGTTCTTTGATATGCTGAATCTAACCATGTATTTAGATTTTTTATTTGTGGACCCCGTTATCTAATTGGTTCATATTGAGGTCAAAAGGGTCCAAAATTAAACTTTGTTTGATTTCATCTAAAATTGAATTATTGGGGTTCTTTGATATTCCAAATCTAACCGTGTATTTAGGTTTTTAATTTTGGGTCCTGTTTTTTAAATTGGTCTACATTGAGGTCCAAAGGGTCCAAAATTAAACTTAGTTTGATTTTAACAAAAATTGAATTCTTGGGGTTCTTTGATTTGCTGAATCTAAACATGTGTTTAGATTTTTGATTATGGGCCCAGTTTTCAAGTTGGTCCAAGATAGGGTCCAGTATTTAAACTTTGTTTGATTTCAACAAAAATTGAATATATGGGGTTCTTTGATATGCTGAATCTAAACATGTATTTAGATTTTTGATTATGGGCCCAGTTTTCAAGTTGGTCCAAATTGGGGTCCAAAATTAAACTTTGTTTGATTTCAACAAAAATTGAATATATGAGGTTCTTTGATATGCTGAATCTAACCATGTATTTAGATTTTTTATTTGTAGGCCCCGCTATCAAATTGGTTCATATTGAGGTCAAAAGGGTCCAAAATTAAACTTTGTTTGATTTCATCGAAAATTGAATTATTGGGGTTCTTTGATATGCCAAATCTAACCGTGTTTTTAGATTTTTAATTTGGGTCCCGTTTTTTAAATTGGTCTTCATTGAGGTCCAAAGGGTCCAAAATTAAACTTAGTTTGATTTTAACAAAAATTGAATTCTTGGGGTTCTTTGATATGCTGAATCTAAACATGTGTTTAGATTTTTGATTATGGGCCCAGTTTTCAAGTTGGTCCAAGTTGGGGTCCAAAATTAAACTTTTTTTGATTTCAACAAAAATTGAATATATGGGGTTCTTTGATATGCTGAATCTAACCATGAATTTAGAATTTTTATTTGTGGGCCCCGCTATCAAATTGGTTCATATTGAGGTCAAAAGGGTCCAAAATTAAACTTTGTTTGATTTCATCAAAAATTGAATTATTGGGGTTCTTTGATATTCCAAATCTAACCGTGTATTTAGATTTTTAATTTTAAGTCCCGTTTTTTAAATTGGTCTACATTAAGGTCCAAAGGGTCCAAAATTAAACTTAGTTTGATTTTAGCAAAAATTGAATTCTTGGGGTTCTTTGATATGCTGAATCTAAACATGTGTTTAGATTTTAGATTATGGGCCAAGTTTTCAAGTTTGTCCAAGTTGGGGTCCAAAAATTGAATATTTGGGGTTCTTTGATATGCTGAATCTAACCATGTATTTTGATTTTGGACATTGGACCATAATAGGTAAATTAAAAAAATTCAAGTTCTTAGACCACATTCTTTCTGTGTCAGAAACCTATGCTGTGTCAAATATTTAATAACAATCCAAATTCAGAGCTGTATCAAGCTTGAATGTTGTGTCCATACTTGCCCCAACTGTTCAGGGTTCGACCTCTGCGGTCGTATCAAGCTGCGCCCCAGCGAAGCATTTTATTGTAAAATTGCATGTTTTTATATAGATTAGACTGTTGGTTTTCCTGTTTGAATGGTTTAACACTAGTAATTTTTGGGGCCCTTTATAGCTTGCTGTTCGGTGTGAGCCAAGGCTCCGTGTTGAAGACCGTACTTTGACCTATATTGGTTTACTTTAATAAATTTTGACTTGGATGGAGAGTTCTCTCATTGGCACTCATACCACATCTTCTTATATCCAATAAAAGTTTGAATTGTTTTACATTTGTGTTTTCAGGACCTTTTATAGCTGACTATGTGGTATGGGCTTTGCTCATTGTTGATTAGGCCGTACGGTGACCTATAGCTCAGCTGTAAATTTCTGTGTCATTTGGTCTCTTGTGGAGAGTTGTCTAATTGGCAATCATACCACATCTTCTTTTTTTATATAGACAAGATTCCATATACAAAACATTATTTTACGGGTTTATAGAAATTCAATGAAATCCTATAATTGTTCACACCCATTCATTACAACTGCTGGAAAATTACAATTAAGTACCATGGATTACAGAAATATAACCAAAAAACTGATATACCAAAATGAATAGCCCGGTTTATTTCACTCAATTTCTTTCCAAAATTTGTGACCACAAATATATAAATCTGATTAAAAAAAATTCTGGTAAGTTGTTATTGGGCTCGTTTCTCTAAAGGTCACAAGTTTGATTGTAACTTCTTATCATTCAATACAAATTATGACCGATCTTCAAAGTCACAAGTCCTTAGATTAAACAGAACCCTAGTTCCTTTCAGCAAGGGCAACTGTAAAAAGCTTATTTTACATGTCAACATTAAAGTGACATGTTATTTCATGCAATGTTTTATCATGGCAAATTTGATATAGGTGAACATATTTTCAAAGCAAAATGTTACTTTTAAGTTGAAAAGAAAAGTGTTTTGATATATTGGCCATGCAGGCAGTGAACCGGCACTATTTACCTGAAGGGAAATAACACTTTTGAAAAGCTATGAAATTGTGACACATACAACTGAACTGGATACAACATTGGCGGTTTCCATGTATTGATTTACTACTGGCATACTTATGCATTTAGATTTGCATCTCTGGTTAAAATCTGTCTTAAATGTAATAGTATTACTATAAAACTCCTAAATATGTGTTTGTTTTGAAAAAAAATAGTGCAATTTATTCAGAAATTTCCACGTTTTCTTAATTGAAACAGGATACCATAATCGTTGTATCTTGATGTTTTAGCTAAAAAAAATGTAATTATTGGTTTTGAAATTCCAGTTTTATACAATTAATTCCAAAGTCAAATTCCTATTAATCCAGTAAAGTAAAAAACTTTTAACTTGGAACTAAAATCTTATAGTAGGCATCATGTGAAATTTGTGACCTGTACACCATGTACATGGTTTCCACATGTTAACCTTCTTTAGTGGGCTAAAATCAATAAAGTACTTCCTTTTAAGTCATGCATGTTTAAACTTCACTTCTCCTTTGACAATATTATTGCATTTTTGAAAAGTGTTTGCTGAATATTATTAAAATTAAAAAAAAATAAATTGTGACAAAGATACCAACTGTACATTCCAAGTGTAACGGTATATCAACATGTATTTTTTTTAAAATTATCTTCATTTACCTAAAATATCAAGTACAATTTACTGCTAAAGCAAAATCAATTCAAAGAGCATCGGCAGAATGATAAGAGACGTAATGTTGAATGAATTCTCCAAGGAATCTTTTCATCGTTATCCGGAAACAAAGTGTGTTGTAACGTCCCTCGAATAAGAAATCGATTTTGTTAAGTCATTGGGCATTTATTTTCACTCAAGATAGTATGTAACATTATGCACGTAGGAAAAATAATAGACCCCCGTCGCGATCTCTTTGAAAATTGTATTTTCCTTTTTTAAACAATATGAAAACAGTCTGCAGAATGTGCTTGCTACTATCCCGTTGGAAACGAAAACGATGTTTAGACCTAATATTTCATATACCAGGCCATAAGCGCTTAATCACATATTCGCCACATGTTTCACGTATGACCGGAAATGATTTGGACTGAACGACAAAAAAAATTTTAATAAATAAAAAGTAAATAACTGGACTTCTGTTTCGTGTGAAATGTAACGCATAACGATAACGTCATTTTCTAACTTTATTATTACGAAGAACAAAACTAGAATGTAAATAATCACTGATTTACCTGTTTGAACATCTCGTGAGAGTTCATATTTGCATATTGTTATGAAGAATTCATTTACAATAAAGCAGACTACACCATCTAAAATTTGCGTTACGAAATCGGAAACCAAAGTAACTCTACTTTTCTTACACCTGCTACAAAAATAGTTATAGTTCTCTGCAATTTCTTCTGACTATTCTTTTTGAGCGATGTTCTTTATTATTTGAAAGCAAAAGTTACGATTTTGCAGGCGACGATTATCTTTAAATCGGGCAGTGTTACGCACTTCGGAAGCGAAAATAACGCTAAGAAACAACATACAAAAGTGGCCGAATAATCTTAAATATTTGTTTATTTCAAGTTCTCTCTAGGGGAGATTAGAAAGCACCTATATTTTAATAGAAATAATAGCATTTGATGGTGGAGCAACAACTGCTCTCAACAAAATACAATATTTTATCACTTTTCTATCGTTATCGGAAACGGTCCCAATACCAAATTATTGCCCATATATGGGGTTCTATGATATGCTGAATCTAACCATGTATTTTGATTTTTTGGCCCCGTTATCAAATTGGTCCACATTGAGGTCAAAAGGGTCCAAAATTAAACTTTGTTTGATTTCATCAAAAATTGAATTCTTTGGATTCTTTGATATGCTGAGTCTAACCATGTATTTAGATTTTGGATATTGGACCATAATAGGTAAATTAAAAAAATTTAAGTTCTTAGACCACATTCATTCTGTGTCAGAAACCTATGCTGTGTCAAATATTTAATCACAATCCAAATTCAGAGCTGTATCAAACTTGAATGTTGTGTCCATACTTGCCCCAACTGTTCATGGTTCGACCTCTGCGGTCGTATCAAGTTGCGCCCAGAGGAGCATTTTATTGTATCTTCCAGACATAACTTGTGTGTTAGTGTATGGATCTCTCTGACATTGTACCACAAGGTTCCATATCACAAAGGGAATGCTGGGATTAATTTTGGGGGTACAATGTAATTGCCTCAAAATTTTAGGAATTAGGGGCCAAAAAAAGGGGCAAAAAACAAGCATTTTTCTAGTTTCATGACAATAATTTGTGTGTAAGTGTATGGATCTTTCTGAAATTATACTACAAGGTTCCATATCACAAAGGAAAAGCTGGAATTGAGTTTGGGGGTAATTGCCCAAAACGTTTAGGAATAAGGGGTGTAAAAGGGGCCAAAAATAAGCATTTTTCTAGTTTCCAGACAATAACTTGTGTTCAAGGGTATGGATCTCTCTGAAATTGTACTGCAAGGTACCATACCACAAAGGAAAGGCTGGGATTGATTTTGGGGGTAATTGCCTCAAAATTTTAGGAATTAGTGGCCAAAAAGGGGGAAAAAACAAGCATTTTTCTAGTTTCAGGACAATAACTTGTGTGTAAGTGTATGGATCTTTATGAAATTGTACTACAAGGTTCCATATCAGGCCAAAAAAAAATATATGTCTGTTTAAGGTTACATCCATTAAAAAAATAGGGTAAGTAGGTAGGTATTTCCATTTTATTTTTTTTTTTCATTTTTTTTTTTGGCGAGATGTGTGATGTTGTTACATGTTGTTTTAACTAATATTAAGTGACTATATTAACTTTTTACTGTCATATAAACTTAAAATAAATTGTTTTGTCCTTTCTAATATATAGGTTTATTAATGTACATGTATGCAGAAATATATTCATTATGCTGTACTGGTGTATGAACAATAAATATATAAAACAAGAAGACCCATCAGAAACGAGGAAAGATGACAAAACCTGCACTTATACATATGAACATACTGGTTCAAGTTTTGGGGGTTGTACCAACTACTTGTATTAAAAAATGTTTCTTTCACTTTTGCAAATTTGATGCATTAAACTTTTAATAAATTAAATTCTTTTATACCATAATAAATAACCTTCCCAGGAACATTGCTGACAAGTTTGGTGCTGTGTGTTTTTTTGACATGAGGAGTAGACACCCCTGCAGATCATACATGTTATTAAATGTGTGGTATTTACATTTATTTATGAGAGGTTAGTCTGAAATTATCTATCTGTCAGTACTTGGCTAACCTCTACAAGTACTGACACTTACCTGCAGAATTAATAAATAGAAAAAAAACATGCGTGTTTTAACAGGTTCAATTCCTGGTTTGAAATATATTTGCAGGGATAGGTGTCAAAAGGGTGATGTCAGATGACTTTTGTTATTTAAAAAAAGTTGGGTATGCTCGTCCTCCAGCCATCATAACTTGAAAAACATTTATTGCAATGTTGGTAGCATTGTCTGCTGCTGTTTGGACAATAGAAACCAAATTATTGTTGATTTCCTTCTCTCATAAAATATCTATACATTTAACATTGAATTTATCTACAACATCTCCAACAGTTAAGTTCCCGTTAACAATATAACCGTCACCTTGTTGAATTTCAGTTTTCCAAGTCACCGTTACTTTGTATGTTTTTGCAGGTTGTTTACTATGGTACAGATCAAACACATCGGTACCAATTATCAATTTGTTTGGTAACTTTGTCAAAAAAAATTTTGTAAGCATGTGGTCACATTTTTTTAACTTTAATGTGACCACGCTTGCTGCCTCAGCCTATTGGGGCCATGCAAGTTGCCATTGAGATCTAGATCGTAAAAACGCTTGAATTTCGAGTCCGTGATTTTAAGATTAAAGCGCTCAGATGATCACGCACCTACTTTCACTTTTGTTTTAAACTGAAAGTAGGTGTTTCCTGCTTTGTACTTTCACTTTCGATTTCATTTTTGAATAAAATGACATAGGGTCGGTCGGGTAACCGTAAACAGACATATATTTTTTTTTGGCCTCACAAAGGGAAAGCTGGGTTTGAGTTTGGGGGTAATTGCCCTAAACATTTAGGAATTTGGGGCCAAAAAGGGGCCTAAAAACAAGCATTTTTATACGACCTCAAAAAAATTTTGCGATAGTATATTGGTATGAAGTTGGCGTCGTCGTCGTTGTTGTCGTCGTCGTCGTCCGAAGACACATTGGTTTTCGCACAATAACTTTAGTTTAAGTGAATGGATCTCTATGAAATTTTACCATAAGGTTTAATACCACAAAAGGAAGGTTGGGATTGATTTTGGGGGTTATGGTACCAACAGTTAAGGAATTAAAGGCCAAAAAGGGGCAAAAAATAAGCATTTTTGTAACTTCCAGACATAACTTGTGTGTTAGTGTATGGATCTCTCTTACATTGTACCACAAGGTTCTATATCACAAAGGGAATGCTGGGATTGATTTTGGGGGTAATTGCCTCCAAATTTTAGGAATTAAGGGGCCAAAAAGGGGCAAAAAAACAAGCATATTTCTAGTTTCATGACAATAACTTGTGTGTAAGTGTATGAATCTTTATGAAATTGTACTACAAGGTTCAATATCACAAAGGGAAAGCTGGAATTGAGTTTGGAGGTAATTGCCCTAACTGTTTAGGAATTTGGGGCCAAAAAGGGGCCAAAAAACAAGCATTTTTCTAGTTTCCAGACAATGACTTGTGTTCAAGTGTATGGATCTTTCTGATATTGTTCTACAAGGTACCATACCACAAAGAGAAGGCTGGGATTGATTTTGGGGGTAATTGCCTCAAAATTTTAGGAATTAGGGGCAAAAAAGGGGAAAAAAACAAGCATTTTTCTAGTTTCAGGACAATAACTTGTGTGTAAGTGTATGGATCTTTATGAAATTGTAATACAAGGTTCCATATCACAAAGGGCAAGCTGGGTTTGAGTTTAGGGGTAATTGCCCTAAATGTTTAGGAATTTGGGGCCAAAAAGGGGCCAAAAAACAAGCATTTTTCTAGTTTCCAGACAATGACTTGTGTTCAAGTCAGGGGTGTGGAAATGCTATGCCCGACTCGCCCGACTCGTACATTTGAACACCCAGACAAGTAACTTTTTTTTTCTGGGTTGCCCGTGGACAAGTAAAAAAAATTATACTATCATTACTTGACAAAGTTCAATTCAAACAAAAAAATTGAATTATTTTCAAAACTTCTAAAGATTTTTAATTTAATGTAAAATAACCTTATGATCAGCGAATAAAAAACACATATTTATGTCAAAACATGAAACTTCATGATGATAAAAATATTAAATAAAACCGGAAACAGATCGATTACCAAAATAAAAAAAAAAAAGTATGCGAACCCGGGTCAGTTAATCATTGCGTTGTCTTTGTCCATTGACTCGGGATCGTCGATTAGGTTTTATCCATGATTCCCCTTGCTCTCTATGGAAGAAAATAAGGAAAATAAATTGAATTTTTGTATAATTTGTAGACAACATCCAACCCATGCCAATCAAAAGTGAACCTTATTTGATGGCAAAGTGGTAGATAGAAGGAACACCTTAATTGCCCATCAACTATCAGCAAAACACCAAGCGTGTCAGTTGAGAGAATCAAATAGTTTTCAATGGTTAATCTATTATTTAGTTTTCATTTATTCACTCTAAGTCTCACTGTGTCCTCAAAATTTAGTATATGTACCTACTGGCTAGAATTTTTAAATGAATACTGCTTCAAAATTGTCCTCTAGATGTCATTTCATTTGGTTGGTTTGCTGTTGGGTTTATGTCCAATTGATGTCAACCCATTACCTCCTTTTATTTGTACACTAACAAAATAACTTTCATTGATATTGTGATTCAAATCAGTGCTAAGAATCATACAAACTAACAGTAAAATACCTCAATATTTATTGGGACTTTCAGGGCAAGTAACTTTTTTTTCTGGACAAGTAAAATTTACAGTTTTACTTGCCCAGGGACAAGTGCTCAAAACAAATATTTCCACACCCCTGGTTCAAGTGTTTGGATCTCTCTGAAATTGTACTGAAAGGTACCATACCACACAGGGAAGGCTGGGATTGAGTTGGGGGTTATGAATCATAAGGGGGTTCAAAAAATTTTCCCACATTCATTCTGTGTCAGAAACCTATGCTGTGTCAAATTTTTAATCACAATCCAAATTTAGTGCTGTATCAAACTTGAATGTTGTGTCCATACTTGCCCCAACTGTTCAGGGTTCAACCTCTGCAGTCGTATCAAACTGCGCCCAGCGGAGCATTTTATTTAACATGCAAAAATATGAAAGTCTGTCGGGTGAAATAAACTACCGATGGGAAGGTCCGAACCCATAAATGGAAGGTCACAGACCTATAACCACTGCCTATTTGAACCCCGGAAAAGCCTTACTACTGCCCTTAGTATTTCAAAAATTCAAAGTTTTATAAACAGTTAATTTATAATTATGACCATATCAACATGATCAATGACAATTTATATGTTTAACAATTATATAAATCTTTATTTGCAGATTCTTATCATTCTAATTGACTGTTGGCAGAAGGGGTGTGTTATATAAAGTGGCATTAAGGCCATGAAGACATACTGTACAATAACATGCTGAGGTTCCTATAAGAGTTTGACGAAGGGCCACGTGTAATCCCTTATTGACAGTTGCAGAACTTTGACCAACAGATTTCATTTTGGGTATTTAACATGTTTAATCATATTGATAATCAGACATGGACTTTACTTAAACAAGTTTCTTTCAAAACAACATTAAGGCAAAGTGTACTCAATAAACTACTCCTCAGAATTTGTTTTAATTATCACAAATTTGGACTCTGCAGTTTGCTTGTAAAAATACACCAGAAAATAAAATAAAAAAAGGGGTTAACCGTTTTCTTTTTTGAAACATGAGATGTTGAAAATAATATAATATGCCAAAAATAAATAGATTATATATAAGGGAAACTCGAGTCGTGAAATTTGGCAAGAATTTTTACATGATCAAGTTATTCTATTTCATTAATCCACAGAATTTTTTGTATGTATATATATGATTCAAAATTGAACAACAAATGGATTGATGTAAAGGAAGTCCTTAGCAACCGTGATTGTTTTCAAGCTATATCCTGTGGAATTTAACCTTTAGTGGCGACATTATTGATGTGTACATTGACGTCACCTTGCACAATTTATACGCTATACAATGTATAGATATAAGTAAATCTTATAAACTATTGTGCCTTGCCGCATGAAGAGCGCGAGTGTGTAACAGCAATTTTGCTATTAATTACTAATGCTTATTTAAAAGCATATACTGTTCAATGGATTAGAAAATTAGCTGACTTAAATTTTTAATGAATACTTTTGCTGCCCAAAAAATGCAAATTGGAATAATAAATGTACTGCAAGTGATAAAAAAGAAAGTTACTGTCGGCTTCCAATAGTCAATTTCAATCGCCATTTTACTTTCATCTTTATTTCACAAAATTTCCTGTCTCGATTGCTTGTTCTATTCTTTAGATACTTAACAAAGCACAATATAATCATGATAATGGTAATTGCAGTAACAAAAGCAAATATTTACTGAAGCATTATTTGTTCCACATGCACAGCTGAAAAATTGCATATTATTTTGAATGTGTTTTTTACTGTAATGAGGTCAAATGTAGAACCCCCTTTTAACAAACTATAACAAAATACAACTGATCAAACTTTCATTAATTTTCATGATTATGCTGATGATTTATCAAAAAAAAAAATCTTATTTTATGTTTTTTTTGTTTCTTGTAGTTAATGCCCCTTAAAAATATTCCACATCAAATTACAACTCCTGTATACAAACATGTTAAAATGTTTTCTTTTTCTTTTGCAGGATATAATGGCAAGTTGGGATGAGGTAAGATTTTCTTTTTAAAGTCAAAGGTCATGTGACCTATGTTGTTTATAAACTGTACAGAAAGATACAGGCGTGTAGTTTTCACACAGTCAGTCAGAGGGAGAATAGGAGAAATCAAAATGACTACAATGAAAAGAATTTCAATATACAAAATTCCAGGAGACAAAAAAAAAGAAACGTAAGATATCATAGGACTGCAGAGCTCCAGATAAGCTGCGTATTTGCGTGATCACGCAATAAAAACAACTGAAAACCCAATGCAATTGACGATTGCAGCGTTCAAAAACCAATTCATGCAAAAGAAAACCCAATTATATGTCAAAACTATGTGTTATCAACCCTTCTAGTCGTTATCATGTGCGTTATTTACCCTTATTTATAAATTATCGTTGCGTAAATCTATTTTTGTAATATTTATAATTGGAAATCTCCTTTTGTTCTAAAAATAGAGAGTTCCGTCAAATAGTTGACCTGGGTCCCTGTTGGAATTGTCCTTTACTCAAGAAGTTAAATGTGCTGACACATGGCTGATGTAAAAAGATTTCGATCTTCTCTGCGTTTATCCAATTGGAGTAAAGATCATAATTATATTCGTATTGCTCGGGATTTATCATGACACATAGCAATAACAATGAATGATTTTAAACAAAAGCAAATTTCCAGTAAAAATATTGAATAGACGCATGTTTTCAGCTTCTTTTTGATAGCTGAGGGATAATCATGATAATAATAAATCTCAGCTAGTGTTATCAAGAAGAGTTCCACGGACTAGCAGGTTCATGCGCGACCAGACAGAAAACCATGCGTCCAGGGCTAGTATACGTGCCTTAATGAGAACATTACTAGTACGACAAACATGGGTTTTGTCTCCATATGACTAATCAGTGGTGCAAGAATTAAATCAGTTGGAACAGTGAAAGGCCAAATCAATTACAATGTATGTCCTTGAAAACCTAACATAATAAGGGACAACTAAATTGACCAGATTTATGTAAATAAAATTAAACCAGAGACATATATGTGTTAAACATTCAAATATTATTTTAGATTTAAAAGAGTTTTTTTTTCCATTTCTGTTGATGAGTAAACACACATATTCGTTTTGCATAAATGTAGCTGGCCACTTTCTTTATTTTTTATCTTATAATGACTTATTGCCAATAAGACTACCATGTTAAGATAGTTATGATATTGGCAAGTGTAGTACAACATTGTCATTTATTTATTTGATTTTGCAGGATCATTTGAAATTGAATGTGGTCTCAGTCATTGAACCACCCCATGGTCATATTCTTAACCTGGTCGATCTAGTCAAGGTTTTAAGGTGTATCTTAATTCAACTGGGAACTGTTAATTATTTTTACAAAAAAGTAGGTCTGCGAACAGTTGATAGGACTGGCAAACCTACAGGATCCAATGTTCACAAGTACTACATAAAAATCTAACAACTGAGCCACACCTACCCCAATAGTCATGATAGTGGCAAATAAACCAAAGGGTGATCGTATGTGCTCTAGAAAGGTAATTACAATAGTTTCTGTCCCACTAGTGACACCAGTTTATATAAGTTGAGAGAAAAGAAAAAAAAAAACTGGCAGAACGGTTGAAACAAACCGGACACAAATTAAACGGAACAATTGCTCGTCACGGTATAAACCAGATAAAACAGCGATCAAATATATAATGAAAGAAATATTTAAGATGGATGAACATCTCTGTTTGATATAATTGTATTATAACACGTCTAAATTCAATATCTTGATGATGAAAAAACCCAACATATTAAGGAGCCTGGTGGTGAAAAACCCAATTTGATATTTGCTTGAGGGGTGAATTAATTCCAAATGAAAAAAATATTTCACTCAATCATATAATAAATGAGGGGTAAAAACCCCAATGTGTGAATTCTTATCTGGAGCTCTGGTAAATAAAACCCGAATGAAGTATCAATAGGAGGCAATCTCGTAAAATGCGTTATCAATTAGGTACAATGAGAGTTGCCTCCCATTGTACGCAATTGACAACTAATACTAGTGTTTGGCGATAGGTGCTTTATTATAATAATGCATTCACAACTCATTTTAAGTCAAAGAGAAACTGACGACGTCATGACAAAAAATGAAAAACAATGAAAATACAAGTATTCAAAACGTTACATAGAAAACTAAAGATAGAGCAACACGAACCCCAAAAAAAACCAAGGCTGATCTCAAAACTGGTGCATAATTGTCTAAAGACTTTTCTGAAGAAAAAAAATCTGAAATTATAGACAACAATTTCACTCCGTCTTGGTAATCACTGTGTTTGGTATAAACTGTTAACTGTAAAAATGTAGCTTGTTAAATTCAATTATTACATTTATAATACATTTTTATGTTCAGAGGAAAATGTGAAAACTTTGTTTTGCTTACAGAAACTTCTTACAGCTGCAAGGAAGGGGAATATAAAAGAGGTAGAACTATGTGTAAAGAACAAAGCTAACTTGGAATGTAAAACTGATGAATTTGTAAGTGAAGTAAAATGTTTAGCACACATAAAATTATTTATTATATAGTACACACAATATGAACCCTTGTAATTAATGTTCAGTGATTCAATGTAAATTTCTGGTTATTGCAAATACTCTTGTCTTATATTAATCATTATTAGATATTAAGAAAAATCATTACACAACCCCAATGTAAATACCGGTAGAACTCTTTCTATTCCACAAAAAACAGTGTGAAACATCATTACACAACATCAATATATACAACTCTTGTATTCAACACACACAGTGAAAAACATCATTACACAACATCAATATATATACAACTCTTGTTTTCAACACACACAGTGAGAAACATCATTACACAACATCAATATATACAGCTCTTGTATTCAACACACACAGTGAGAAACATCATTACACAACATCAATATATACAGCTCTTGTATTCAACACACACAGTGAGAAACATCATTACACAACATAAATATATACAGCTCTTGTATTCAACACACACATTGAGAAACATCATTACACAACATCAATATATACAGCTCTTGTATTCAACACACACAGTGAGAAACATCATTACACAACATCAATATATACAGCTCTTGTATTCAACACACACAGTGAGAAACATCATTACACAACATCAATATATACAACTCTTGTTTTCAACACACACATTGAGAAACATCACTACACAACCTCAATATATACAACTCTTGTTTTCAACACACACAGTGAGAAACATCATTACACAACATCAATATATACAGCTCTTGTATTCAACACACACAATGAGAAACATCATTACACAACATCAATATATACAACTCTTGTTTTCAACACACACATTGAGAAAAATCACTACGCAACCTCAATATATACAACTCTTGTTTTCAACACACACAGTGAGAAACATCATTACACAACATAAATATATACAGTTCTTGTATTCAACACACACAGAAGAATAGACAATCAAAACACACAAGTAGAAGAAGAATAGACAATCAAAACACACAAGTAGTAGAAGAATAGACAAAACACACAAGTAGTAGAAGAATAGACAATCAAAACACACAAGTAGTAGAAGAATGGACAATCAAAACACACAAGTAGTAGAAGAATAGACAAAACACATAAGTAGTAGAAGAATAGACAAAACACATAAGTAGTAGAAGAATAGACAATCAAAACAAATAAGTAAAAGAAGAATAGACAATCAAAACACATAAGTAATAGAAGAATAGACAATCAAAACACATAAATAATAGAAGAATAGACAATCAAAACACATAAGTAATAGAAGAATAGACAATCAAAACACATAATTAGTAGACAAATAGACAATCAAAACACACAAGTAGTAGAATAATAGACAATCAAAACACATAAGTAATAGAAGAATAGACAATCAAAACACATAAATTATAGAAGAATAGACAATCAAAACACATAAGTAGTAGAAGAATAGACAATCAAAACACATAAGTAGTAGAAGAATAGACAATCAAAACAAATAAGTAACAGAAGAATAGACAATCAAAACACATAAGTAATAGAAGAATAGACAATCAAAACACATAAATAATAGAAGAATAGACAATCAAAACACATAAGTAGTAGAAGAATAGACAATCAAAACACATAAGTAGTAGAAGAATAGACAATCAAAACACACAAGTAGTAGAAGAATAGACAAAACACATAAGTAATAGAAGAATAGACAATCAAAGCACATAAGTAGTAGAAGAATAGACAATCAAAACACACAAGTAGTAGAAGAATAGACAAAACACACAAGTAGTAGAAGAATAGACAATCAAAACACACAAGTAGTAGAAGAATAGACAATCAAAACACACAAGTAGTAGAAGAATAGACAAAACACATAAGTAGTAGAAGAATAGACAATCAAAACAAATAAGTAAAAGAAGAATAGACAATCAAAACACATAAGTAATAGAAGAATAGACAATCAAAACACATAAATAATAGAAGAATAGACAATCAAAATACATAATTAGTAGACGAATAGACAATCAAAACAAATAAGTAATAGAAGAATAGACAATCAAAACACATAAGTAGTAGAAGAATAGACAATCAAAACACATAAGTAGTAGAAGAATAGACAAAACACACAAGTAGTAGAAGAATAGACAAAACACACAAGTAGTAGAAGAATAGACAATCAAAACAAATAAGTAATAGAAGAATAGACAATCAAAACACACAAGTAGTAGAAGAATAGACAATCAAAACACACAAGTAGTAGAAGAATAGACAAAACACATAAGTAGTAGAAGAATAGACAATCAAAACAAATAAGTAAAAGAAGAATAGACAATCAAAACACATAAGTAATAGAAGAATAGACAATCAAAACACATAAATAATAGAAGAATAGACAATCAAAACACATAATTAGTAGACGAATAGACAATCAAAACAAATAAGTAATAGAAGAATAGACAATCAAAACACATAAGTAGTAGAAGAATAGACAATCAAAACACATAAGTAGTAGAAGAATAGACAAAACACACAAGTAGTAGAAGAATAGACAAAACACACAAGTAGTAGAAGAATAGACAATCAAAACAAATAAGTAATAGAAGAATAGACAATCAAAACACACAAGTAGTAGAAGAATAGACAATCAAAACACACAAGTAGTAGAAGAATAGACAAAACACATAAGAAGTAGAAGAATAGACAACAAAACACACAAGTAGTAGAAGAATAGACAAAACACATAAGTAGTAGAAGAATAGACAATCAAAACAAATAAGTAAAAGAAGAATAGACAATCAAAACACATAAGTAATAGAAGAATAGACAATCAAAACACATAAATAATAGAAGAATAGACAATCAAAACACATAATTAGTAGACGAATAGACAATCAAAACAAATAAATAATAGAAGAATAGACAATCAAAACACATAATTAGTAGACGAATAGACAATCAAAACAAATAAGTAATAGAAGAATAGACAATCAAAACACATAAGTAGTAGAAGAATAGACAATCAAAACACATAAGTAGTAGAAGAATAGACAAAACACACAAGTAGTAGAAGAATAGACAAAACACACAAGTAGTAGAAGAATAGACAATCAAAACAAATAAGTAATAGAAGAATAGACAATCAAAACACACAAGTAGTAGAAGAATAGACAATCAAAACACACAAGTAGTAGAAGAATAGACAAAACACATAAGAAGTAGAAGAATAGACAACAAAACACACAAGTAGTAGAAGAATAGACAATCAAAACACACAAGTAGTAGAAGAATAGACAAAACACACAAGTAGTAGAAGAATAGACAAAACACATAAGAAGTAGAAGAATAGACAACAAAACACATAAGTAGTAGAAGAATAGACAAAACACATAAGTAGTAGAAGAATAGACAATCAAAACAAATAAGTAAAAGAAGAATAGACAATCAAAACACATAAGTAATAGAAGAATAGACAATCAAAACACATAAATAATAGAAGAATAGACAATCAAAACACATAATTAGTAGACGAATAGACAATCAAAACAAATAAGTAATAGAAGAATAGACAATCAAAACACATAAGTAGTAGAAGAATAGACAATCAAAACACATAAGTAGTAGAAGAATAGACAAAACACACAAGTAGTAGAAGAATAGACAAAACACACAAGTAGTAGAAGAATAGACAATCAAAACAAATAAGTAATAGAAGAATAGACAATCAAAACACACAAGTAGTAGAAGAATAGACAATCAAAACACACAAGTAGTAGAAGAATAGACAAAACACATAAGAAGTAGAAGAATAGACAACAAAACACACAAGTAGTAGAAGAATAGACAATCAAAACACACAAGTAGTAGAAGAATAGACAAAACACACAAGTAGTAGAAGAATAGACAATCAAAACACACAAGTAGTAGAAGAATAGACAATCAAAACACACAAGTAGTAGAAGAATAGACAAAACACATAAGTAGTAGAAGAATAGACAATCAAAACAAATAAGTAAAAGAAGAATAGACAATCAAAACACATAAATAATAGAAGAATAGACAATCAAAACACATAATTAGTAGACGAATAGACAATCAAAACAAATAAGTAATAGAAGAATAGACAATCAAAACACATAAGTAGTAGAAGAATAGACAATCAAAACACATAAGTAGTAGAAGAATAGACAAAACACACAAGTAGTAGAAGAATAGACAAAACACACAAGTAGTAGAAGAATAGACAATCAAAACAAATAAGTAATAGAAGAATAGACAATCAAAACACACAAGTAGTAGAAGAATAGACAATCAAAACACACAAGTAGTAGAAGAATAGACAATCAAAACACACAAGTAGTAGAAGAATAGACAAAACACATAAGTAGTAGAAGAATAGACAACAAAACACACAAGTAGTAGAAGAATAGACAATCAAAACACATAAGTAGTAGAAGAATAGACAATCAAAACAAATAAGTAAAAGAAGAATAGACAATCAAAACACATAAGTAATAGAAGAATAGACAATCAAAACACATAAATAATAGAAGAATAGACAATCAAAACACATAAGTAATAGAAGAATAGACAATCAAAACACATAAATAATAGAAGAATAGACAATCAAAACACATAATTAGTAGACGAATAGACAATCAAAACACACAAGTAGTAGAAGAATAGACAATCAAAACACACAAGTAGTAGAAGAATAGACAATGAAAACACATAAGTAGTAGAAGAATAGACAATCAAAACACACAAGTAGTAGAAGAATAGACAAAACACATAAGTAATAGAAGAATAGACAATCAAAACACACAAGTAGTAGAAGAATAGACAAAACACACAAGTAGTAGAAGAATAGACAATCAAAACACACACGTAGTAGAAGAATAGACAAAACACATAAGTAGTAGAAGAATAGACAAAACACATAAGTAGTAGAAGAATAGACAATCAAAACAAATAAGTAAAAGAAGAATAGACAAT